TTTCTAAAGTGGCTCTATGTTCACTCTTTCACCCTCCACTTTGCTCCCTGGGGTCTCAATTCTTGCTCTGGGGGTGTTCGGCTACGTAGCTGTTACCTCCAGCTGCAACACCACCTCAGAATTCTAGTCTCATATTTCCAACTGCTTGCTACATTATTCCAATGGAATAATTCATCAAGATCGCAAATTCAGCATAACTACGATTCAACTTATCATTTATCCTACTGACTCTTTTCTGGCCAACGTTATCAAGGAGTCAAGCCAGAAACCTCACCTCTAGCTTTACCTTCTCTTTCAACTTCAGCCCTTACATCCAATTAGCTATAAGATTTGTATTAAATTTTCACCTCAGTACCTTTTTGTTTTGTTTTGTTTTTTTTGTTTTTTTTTTGCGGTATGCGGGCCTCTCACTGTTGTGGCCTCTCCCGTTGCGGAGCACAGGCCCCGGACGCGCAGGCTCAGCGGCCATGGCTCATGGGCCTAACCGCTCCGCGGCATGTGGGATCTTCCCGGACCAGGGCACAAACCCGTGTCCCCTGCATCGGCAGGCGGACTCTCAACCACTGCGCCACCCCCTCAGTACCTTTTAATTTGACTACCTGACTGCTTCTCTTCTTCTTTTGTTAAAAGTTTAACACGATCACAACTTTAGCCATGGTCACAGATTTTGGATGTAAACCCAATGTAGATCAAATTCATCTCTCACCTTCTGCTTCAAGACTTCACTTTTATCCATTTCTCCTCTACTAGTATCAACCCTGGTTTTCCCTCTTTGTCTGCCCAGGTTTTTGCTTGGTGCTTGTGGCAAACCCTATTGATGACATGATGCAACTTTCCTTTTGAATCCCATTGCAAACATACAGCTTTCTCCAATATTCTGGTGACCCCTTTGGAATTTTGGCTTTGCCTCACCAACTTAGCCCCTCTCCACTACTGAGCTTCTCATTCTGATACTGAACTTTCTGCTCAGTGTGGCCCTGTACCTCCAATGATACCTGATGTTCCAGACTGAGCCAGACCATCCCCTCTGCTCATCTCTCCACTGAGGACTGGACATTATTCTCATAGTCCAGACTTTTATGACCTCGTCTAGATAATTGACATAGTTTCCTGGTCTACTTGGTCTCCATGCTTTCAGTCTCTTCCAATTTCTTTCCATACTGGACACTATTACCTTACACATTTTCATAAAGAACATCTGGTGGACTTCCTTGGTAGTCCAGTGGTTAAGACTCTGCACTCCCAGTGCAGGGGACACAGGTTCAATCCATGGTCGGGGAACTAAGATCCCACATGCCATACGGGCGCAGGCAAAAAGAACCAAAAAAAAAAAAAAAATCCAACAGAATCCCAGGCTCCTCCCTTCTCTGGGATTCAGGAAAAGAAAAACAAAGAATTGGTAATTACACTAAATAGTCTAGTGGTAATATACAGCAAATGATATACTCAAAACTCTTCAGTGGTTCCTTATTGCCCACCACACTAGACATTCAAAATGCTCCATGATGTAATTTCAATAAAAAAATTTCAGCCTTATATGATACAATCTTTCCATATTTAACCTATTCCCTTGGCAAATGGAATATTGTTTTTCCTCAAATGAATCCTGTCATTTCCTGCTTGTATAGTATTGTATGAACTATTTCTTCTTCCTGGAATATTTAATGCCTTGCTCTTCATCTAAGCTTTTAAAGATTACCCATGTATCAAGTCCTAGCTCAAGTGTCACCTTCTGCAGTTATTTTTTAAAATGGAAGAATGTTCAATTATGTAGCATCTCCTAGTACGGCTATTTAAGGCATATAACATAAAACCACATCGTTTTCTTATTCAGGCACCCATGAGATTATCAGCTGCTTGAGGGCAGTAATGATGAGATAATATTTTATTCTAACATTGAACAAATATTCATTAAGTCCTTACTGTTCTGGTGACGGAGGTATGAACAAGACACATAGAAGTCCTTGCTCTCATGGAGTTTTTGTTTTAAGGAGAGGCATGTTTTACAGATAAGAAGCATCTAAGTAAATAAACAAAATAGGATAATCTCAGATTTAGATTGGGTAGTTAGGGAAGTTCTCCCCAAAGAGGTATTTGAGAGAAAAATCTCAATGATAAGAAGAACCCAATCACAAGACCAGAAAAGAGCAAGTAGAAAGTCATCAAGTCGGGAGTGTGCTGTGTTTAAAGAACACGTGGATGACAGAGTGGCTGGAGCACAGTGGGTGGAGGGGAAGACTAGTTCGAGATGAGGTTATAGAGGTAAGCAAGGGCCAGATCTTGGAGGCCAAGCAAAGTGATTTGGATTTCATCTTAACGTTTAAAACAGGGAGAAACATAATCTAATTTACAGCATAAAACGGTCTCTGGTTGCTGTTTAGGCAATGGATTGTACACGGTAAGAGTGGAAGCAAGATTAATTGGAAGACTACTGCAGTGATCAAGAACATGAGATGAGAATAGGTTGAATTTGCTGATAGTAGAGGAGAGAGGCAAGTGGACCCATTTATAGTCTCTATAGTATTAAGTAGGGTACCTTGAACACAGCAGACGCTCAATATATGTTGATAAATGTATGCCCAAGTGTTTCAAGATAGTTTCACCTTCTTAATTTGCATTTTATCTTCAAATTTTTCCTGCTTTGATTCACATAATATGGCTTAATATATTCCTGTCTGGCACTTGGTGAGCCAAAAACAAAACAAAAAAGAAACGAAAAGAAAAGGACCTCACGTTCAAGAAAACAGCATAGATCCCAGTAGAAAGTCAGTTAACAAAGAACTAAAGTGATGTAAGTTCATATTGTTAAGTTAATTATGGAAAGAAATAAATTACTTGGAAAAAATGGTAAAACGTGGATTTCAAAAATCTATGCTAGGATGAAAATGGAAATGGTATTCAAATACACAGATCTACATTTTAAAAAAGAGAGCCTCTGTCAGCATCAGCTGGAACAGTGTGCCCAAAGAGGATGTGGGTAAAATTAATTTTCATTAAAATTGAAGACTTTTCCAGTTCTAACTAACTTTTGATTTTTCTGGAAATGTAAAATCTTCATTTTGCCATCTTGATATGCGAATTTCCTAATAGGTAGCTGACACTACTTATATTAAAATTCTAAGATCACTGAATGTGACCTGCCTTGTTTCTAAATTAGGAATCTGAGAAAAGACAGGCAATTCGGTAAGTTCTCATGCTCACATTCATGTATACTTCCTAGGACATTTAAATTTTTATCCATACAGATTCATCCTACATTATGAATTCAATCCAAATTCCTTCAATACAAAGCAAAATCCAAATGAAAATGGGATCAATTTTTACCACTTTCCAGCTAAAATGCTAAGTGGCCCCTGAATCGTGTGAAACTTGGCCCCAGTCAGTGTGAAAACTGGCTGCAATCTGTATGAAAGGCAGTCTGGGTTGTCGAAGTAGTTCATGAACTTTGGCCACACTTGCAAGGAACCTGGTCCAAGTCTTAGTTTGTAATGCAACATGAAACAAGGTGAATTTCACATGGTTTCGGGTTTCCTCCTGAAAATTTGGCCGAGCTTTATAATCAATCATCACTTTTTGAAACGATGAAAGCCAACACACCTTTTTGAAACTGAGGGCTGCGTGCACACTGATGACAGCTAAGCTGTGAACCACCCTTTCACTTCCTTTGCCAAAAGAAGATTTCTCAGAATAGAAACAGTTTCCCTCTTACCTGGAAAGGGCAAGTTGAGTGATTTTGATATTGCACGTAGAAAGAAATAATACACCATACATGGAGACATGCCATGTGAAATAATCACCACATACGGAGCAAGTGGCTACATGCTAATCGTTTAGGGTTATGAGAATTTTATTCCATTCACATCCATGACAGATATCATGATGTTTAATCTCCTTGACCATTAAGATAAACTTTGAACTGGTCATCAGATAGAATAACTGCCATGGTGACTATGCTGAGACATAGTCATTATCTCTATATGAAGAAATGGCAGAAGAATAGGAAGGAAAGTAAATCATGGCATAATTTTCATCTAGTTTAATAAACAGGAGGGAAAAGACTACAAACCTTTCAAGTTTGCATTGACTAACATCTTTTGCAATAAAACCTCTACTGTGGTGAAAATGAATTCAATAATTAACTTCACAGACTGCATTTTACAAAAAACCTACACAGTGTCTGTTTTCAACCTGAAAGTTTTAAATGTGCTTTTCCACTGTAAGAAATGACTCTCTTCAACCAAGTACTCGCTTTTGTGCATAGTGACACGAGAAAATCGAGAGGTATGTCTGCACGGAGCCACTACATCATTGGAACAGCATGTCTGAACATTTGGGTAATAAGGCACAGATGTGAAGCAGAGGACTTGGCACTACCAAGGTAACAACAAAGCATTCACCATTGTCTTATAATGGTTAAAGGAGCCACATTTGAGAAGAATAAAAGAATGCCCCTCCTCCCTGGAATGTTAAATTATATTACACCTTTTAACTGCTTAAAAATCTATAAAGAATAAGAAATTCAAATAAGTATTATTCAAACTTATGATGAACAAAAACAGAAAATGCATTAATATTTTCATCTCTAATACAACATATTTATGCAATATTACATAAAGTTTAACTGCAGAAAAAGGCCAAATTCAATAGGAATCCACGTGGCCTCTATATTACAAAACAATGTATACAAATCTGAAGGACCCAATAGTCAATGGAAGGGTGGTGGTTGCTGACTTTCGGTAGTGATTCTGGCCCTTAATCAGTAGGAATCATTATTGTAGAGTGTCCTATTTACAGGTATCAAGTTAAGATAATGCAACAAGATACAAACATTAGTTACAATTAAGGCTATTTCAGTTATAAGTGGTATGGTATTTTTGTCAGCCATTACTAAACCACATGACACCAAGGCAGTTATGAAGCCAGGGCTACTTTAATTCAATGAGTTTGGAGCTGAAAACTATTAATAATTTTCTGCCCAGGATTGGAAGAGTATAACTTACCCGAGGTCCCTGATCACCCTGTTCTCCCTGTAGAGTAGGAAAATGAGAAGATAGTTTTAGAACAAAGTCTGTAGATGCTCATTAAAAAGATCTAAATGTAACATGGTATAAGTCACACCTGTATGGATTTCCACTAAGTTAATTTGTTCCTGCTACACATTTTCTTACCTTATCACCTTTTGGACCAGGAGGGCCCTGAAATAAAGAGAAAAAAACCATACTTTAAATAAATTTCAAAATATATTGTAGCTTAAATAGATAGGCTAGGGTTAGTCACAAGATTCATGCAAAGGGCACAGAGTTGTACCTGTCAGTGAGGTTTCTCAAGGAATTTTAGGTTCTAAACTATACTTGTAATACGGTTAGAATGTGAAAATGGTATTATATACATAAACAGGAAAGTATACATATCATAAGTATATAATACGCTGAGTAAATTTTCATAAACTAAACACACCTGCTGAAAGTAGAACCCAGCTAAAGGAACCCAGAAGCCCCTGTTGTGATGTTCCTTGTTACTGCTTGACACCAACAGTAATCACTATTCTGACCTCTGGCAGAATAGATTACCTGCTTTTGTACTTTATATAAATGTACTTATATAAATAGAATCATCCATTATGTGTTTAGCCTCTTTTCTTAGTGTGTGTGAAATTCATGCAAAATTTTGTGTGTAGTTGTAGATTGTTTGTTTTTACTGATTTATAATATTCCACTGTGTGAATAAACAATTATTTATTTATTTATCCTACTGTTAATGTCCATTTGCTTCCAGGAGTTTTTGGGTCTTGGTTATTACAAATAGTGCTGCAATAAACATCCTAGTATACGTCTTTCGGTGAAAAATTGAATACATTTCTGTTGGGTGTATATCTAGGAGTGGAATTGTTACATTCTAGACAATACATACATTTGGATTATTAGTTAGTAGATATTGCCAAATAGTTTTTCAATGTGGTTAACAATTATACTTCCATCAGCAATGTATGAGAATTTTCAGTTCCTCTATATCATCACCAATACTTGGTAGTTTCCATCTTTTTCATTTTAGACATTCCGGTGGGAGGTGTAGTAGTTTTACACAGTGTTTTAATTTGTACTTCTCCAGTAATTAAGTTGAACTCCTTTTAATAAATGTATTGGCCATTTTGCATCCTAGCCCATAAAGTGTCTGTTCACATCATTTTCTATTGAGTTCTCCTATTATTTGCTAGAGTTCTTTACATATTATACATTGTATTGACAGATAGACAGATAGATAGACAGATAGGAGTTCTTTACACACTCTGAATTTGAGTCTTTTGTCAGAAAAGGATATATTTATTGCAAACATATTCTCCCACGCTGCATATTGTGTTTACATTCTCTTAAAGATGTTTTTGATGAATAGAAGTTCTTAAACTCAATTTAACATTTTTTCTCTTTATGATTATCTCTTTTATTGTTCCACTTAAGAAATCTTTGCCTCCTTCAAGGTCATAAAGAGGTTCTTCTATGTTTGTTCTAAAAGCTAAAAGCTTTATTATTTTATCTTTCATATCTAGATCTGAATTCATGGAGAACTGATTTTGTGAATGACGTGAGGTTAAAGTCAAGATGCTTTTTTTCCCCGTGTGGATATCAAATTAACCCAATACCATTTATTGAAAATGCCTCTTTTCCCCATCACAGTACAGTGTTACCTTTGTCATAAATCAGATGACCATATATATGTGGGTCTTTTAGGAAATTTCTATTTTGTTGGACAGTTGTCTACTCTTAAGCCACACTGAGATTTTCTTTACTTTTGAACAAAAATACTAGCAGGAAACATGAATTCTAGAGGCATCAGGTTTTTTTTTTCCTAGCTCTTAAAGATGAAGTCATGTCTCAGGGCTCAGCCCACCTGCAGAAGTAGAGCATTTCAGAGTTACCTTCAATCTCTCACCTTCCTTTTTAGCAGGGTTGGGAGACAAGGACAAGTCTAGACAGGAGTAAAGCCAAGGTCCTAACAAAGTACCCCTTCTGAGGTCCCAGTGGGGACTGCTATCTCAATTCAGGTGGGAATGTAAGAATGCTCCACCTACCAAGATACCTGCTGCTAAACACCAGTTGCAGAGGAGCTGTACCAAATTCCCATTCTCAGTTGCAGCAATTGTAACAGCTGTGAGGTTATCATGACATTAACAATAACAGGAACATCATGTCTTATATTTTGTATATTTTACCATCAACAAAGAACTTTGACCTGTTACTGCATTTAATCTTCTCCCAACCTAATGAGCAAAGTTTTATGATATTTCTTTTACAGATGTCAGAAATAAAACTCAAAGATTATCAAGGTTACGCCTCTTGTAAGTGAGTTAGCCGGGACTTTAAGCTAGTCTGTGTGACTTTAAATGCAGTGCATCGTGATGCTAAGTGTTAGGGCACAGCTCTAGAACTAGATTCTCAGGAAGACTGACAGCCATGTATCTGGTGCCTGCTTTCAACAGGTGCCCTCTTGAATGCCTCCCAATTGCCTTTTTCTTTTTTTTCTTTCTTTCTTTTCTTTTTTTTTCTTTTGGCCGAGCCACACAGCTTGCAGGATCTTATTTCCCCAACCAGGGATCAAACATGCCCCCTGCTGTGGAAGCACGGAGTTCTAACCACTGGACCGCCAGGGAATTTCCCCAATTGCCTTTTTCATAGTGTCATGGACAGCGGCCTCAACATCTCAAGTTCAAAATGCAGGAAAGAGGAATTGTAGAGCATCTGGGAGAGGGAGAGGGGGCCAAGATAATGGAATCAACTAAACAAATCCTTTTCTTTCTTAACTCCCCAAATAATTTTGCCACTAAAAAGGGGCGCTATTTTAAGAACATTTTTCTTAATGTTTTCAGCGAATCCAGTAGTGAGTCATGAGTACAGCCTGTCTGTGTACCTCTGTAAAATTAAGTTTAAGAAATTTATTGGTCATTCTTGACACGCACAAAATGCTCACTAATGCTCTACAAGTAGGATTTTATTTTTGGTGGGGCAGAGTCAACCCAAAGAAAAGAATGAGAGGACACCTACCATCAAGTTAAGAAATGCAGTGGAGATTCTGGTCTTGATTTAATTAAGTAGCATGTTTAACTCTAATTAGATCTTTATATACATTTGGTGGATGCCTATAAAGAGTGTGGCAATGTTCTAAGCACCGGTAGAGGATATGCTGTGACATGCTGATTTAGAAAAGCTAAACAGGCTGTTCTAGAAAAGCTAAATAGCCTGTTGCCAAAGTCAAACACTTCTCCTATACTGGTGTTAAGAAAAATGACCCCTAGAAAATCCAGCTACTGTAAGGTCACTTACAATTACTGTGGACTTGTCCCCAGACCCTCTCCCCTACGCCCATCAAAAGCTTCTCCTCTTTAAAGTTTAGTTTGCTTTTGCTTGTGAGATTTCAGAGGCCAAGGCTCTCATTGTACCAGTCCCCCAAAGGGACCTTGTTAGGTGATACGGCATGTTTGAGGTCAAAACTTTTGTGAAATTATTTTACAGTGGGGAACAGAGATGAGTCTTTTCCCCAAAGTCCAATTACTAATGCTAAAGCCACATGTGTCCTCTAGAGCTCTTTAGACAGCTTGCCATAAGCAAGGATGCTTAATTCATGAACACATGAAAATTTGCATTTACAATTGAGTAATGAATACTGCTGCTTCAAAAGGGGGTATTTTTGAGTAGACAGAATGGCGTCCTGGCACCTGCCAGCTCAATGCAGAACCGAAGCAGAGGTCAACCTCCATCCACAGCTGTGGCGGCTGCTTCGGACACTCCAGGCCCCACTTGTGCTCTCGGGTTTAATGGCAGGTGTTTTCTTCTGCTCTGAGTAAAATCCCACTCTTATTTCTAGGCTGGACCCTTTCACTGCAAACATGGGTTAAATATGTAGAAAAACGTGAGCTACCTTACTAAGCACAGATAGTATTTCAAAATTTTGGAGCCATGATTCTTTTTAAAGTCAAAACATTACAATCGAAAGAAAGGTTTCTTTGATTATTAACTTTTAAAATTAAAGCTGGGGCATGATTGAAGTTATTTTTCTTTTGTCTTTAGAGTAAAGCCAAACAAAACTCTCTGGTATTAACTACAGGATAGGCAGCAATACAAATGAATGAATTATTTGAATCAGGGAGTATTTTACACTGGCATTTTGCTGCTTCCAACTACACCAAGTTAACGATCTAATATTCAGTGGACATATATGTTGTCCAGGTATCAGTATCAGTGGCTGGTTGTTAACTATTTGAAGGTAAAAGCCTGTTGCTAAAACAAGGTTGAGGTCAATGGGAAGGAAATATGGTAAAATTACTGGTCACAATTAAGTGAATAGTGAGTCACAGCCTCATATGAGGCTTCTTTTCGGACTCCTGTCCTTCTGGTCTGGTCTGGTATGTTGGAGTCAGATCTTTTATAATGTCCACTTTAATAAATAAATAAGAATACTTGAAATGATCTTTCTAATTAGTTTTACATAATTAGCTCTAATTACATAAATTTCAAAGGTGCTAACAACATCTTTATTATTAGTGTTGTTAGTAGTTGGAGAGTTTCTTTTAGAGAGTTGTTAAAGTGTTATTAATTTACTACCAAAGTATTTATAAATTTCAGTGGCAAACTTCAAATTAGCTCCTATTCAAATGACTTCAAATACAGAACTTAGTAGCAACCTATTTGTATCAAGACTTTAATGTGGGCGTATAATAATTTTAGTCTCCTGAATTCTATTTCTATCCAAACAACTAAGGTTTTAGCTCTTTTTCCATGCACTATTATCTATTTCAATTAAATGATAAAAACCAAATTAAAAGCACAGGAATAAGAGGAACAATAAATGAGATTCAGGAAAATACTGGATTTCAATCTACATAAAAGTTATTGAAATATAGCTGGAAAAGATAGATATAGTCATAGGGGTTGCATGGCCCAATAAAGGACTTTTGCTCACTAGAACTGTAAATTTTGTCTACTTTGAACTGGCAACAGCTAAAAAGGGAATGATTTTTACAAGACGGCAATCATGAAAACAAAATTAAATTCCGCTAAAGGCAGAAAAATGGAAAGGGAGTAAACCCTGGAAATTCCTGACAGCCAGAGCTACTGAAATATGAATGAAGTTACGGTTTCTATCCCAGAGAAGTGTAGGTCATTTGTATTTTTGAAATATAACAATTCTTGTTCTGATGAATCTC